CCGCAGGGTTTCCAAGGAGCAGCTGGTGGATTTGAACTGCTGACCTTTTGGCTAGCAGCCTGAGCTCTTAACCACTGCGTCACCAGGGCCTCAAAGTCATCACAGCAGATATAAAAACAAGCAAACAAACAGAAACAATCGAAGGGTTGGAAGGTTTAAGCTCAGGAAATCTCCCAGAGAGTAGTACAAAAAGAAAAAGAAATGGAAAATAAGAAAAAAGATAAAGTGAGTAGAGGACTCATCCAGGAGTTGCAGCATCTGAGTGAAGGGAATTCCAGAAAGGGAAACAGAAGCAGTGGGAAGAGAATCATCAACAAAATAATTTAGGACAATTTCCCAGAACAGAAGGGCATGTGCTGCCAGAATGGAACAGTCCACTAAAAAAAATGCCCAGCACAATGTACTCACACCGAGACACACACTGCGAAATTCAGAACACTGGGAACAGAGAGAAGATTCTAAAAGCTTCCAATGGGTACTGGCTCTTGAGAGCTCTTTGTCAAATTTTAACAGTTTTGCAGACCGGCTGTTAAACCATTGGTCAACAAAACTAAATTAAAATGTAAAATAATAAATATCATGGAAAAACAAAAAGGAAGGAAGGAGAGGGGAGTCTTTATACTGTATTTACATTTGGAAATTGGCAAACACCACAAATCAAGGATTTACTGGGGGGAAGTGGCAGGAGGGAGGGAGTTAGTTTACCAGCATACAACTAAATAGTTGAGCAAATTATGGTATATAATTTATACAGCCATTAACAATAACAACTCTGATAAATATATAGAAATATAGAAATTGTTGATATAATGCTGTTGTTGTTAGTGGCTGTCAAGTTGATTCTGACTCATGGTGACCCCATGTGTGCAGAGCAGAGCTGCTCCACAGGGTTTTCAAGGCTGTGACCTTTCGGAAGCAGATCACCAGGCCTGTCTTCTGAGGTGCCCCGAGTGGGTTCAAACCACCAACCTTTCCACTAATAGTCATGTGCTTAACTGTTTTTGCCACCCAGGGACTCCTGATAAACCATGAAGTTATATAAACAGACAAAAAGCATATGTGTACTATAAATACAACTATGTAAAATATACACATGATGGAGAACAAAGGAAATACACAAAACGGTTATTTGTTAAGATGATGAAATAATGTATTTTACAATTTAAGTTTATCCTTATTGTTTTTGTAATTCAAGATTAAAAACTTTTGTTCGCCCTCCCTCCCTCCGTGGTACCTAAAGAAGAAAACCCAAACTTGCCTGATGAAAATTCTATAATGGTAGCCCACGACCTTCAGGCCTGATAGGATTCTAATGAGGAAGTTTGAAATTTGTTCTACCTGTCCACTTCCACTTTCTGCCACTTGCGTCCACCCACCCACACTCCAGTCCTATCAGATCACCTGTGATTCCCCTGCTGAGCTATGTCTTCCCATGAGTGATCCTGAGGAACCCCAACTCATCTGGCCAGATCCTCCCCTCAACCACCTGGAGAAGCACCTCCTCCTCTCAGTGTTTCTGTTGTCCTCTGCTCATCTCCATGGTAACTCTTTATCACTTGGACTTAAGAGTCTTATGAGTCTGTCCTCCAGGTGGGGAAACTGTCTCCCTAGTTGCAGCTGAGTCAGCACTGACTCATGGTGACCCCATGTACAACAGAATGAAACACTGCCTGGTCCTGTGCCATCTCACGCTCGAGACTATTGTTGTGGCCACTGAGTATCTTCCAGAGCTGTGGCAAACAATATTCTGTTGTGATCCATAGGGTTTTCATTTGCTAATGTTCAGAAGTAGGTTGCCAGGCCTTTCTTCCTAGTCTTTCTTAGTCTGGAAGCACCACTGAAACCTGTCCACCATAGGTGACCCTGCTGGTATTTGAAATACAAATGGCATAGCTTCCAGCATCATAGCAACATGCAAGCTACCACAGTACAGCAAACTGGCAGACAGGTGGTGATCACATACTATAGTCCCTTAAAACAATTGTTCGATATTTGTGTTGGGAGATGGTTTGGAATGCTGCCTCCTCCATGAAGCTTTCCTGGTTCCCACACCATCACCACTCTCTGGGGAAATCACTCTCCCTCTTCTGGGTTCCCATAGGGCTTTGTATGACCTTGAGTAATACTTATTATTCTCTCTACAACTCAGTTTCTTTATCTGTAAAATGGAGGTGATAAAAATACCTGTCTCACCAGGTCATGTTACACTGCCTGTGGGGTTTACAATTAAGTTTACCCGAAGAATTTGGTCTTTGCCCTTGGTTCTGGAGAGAGAATCTCTAAAGCCTTGGAATTTCTCCAGTGACTGAAGTGATTTGATGAGGCCTTCTGATGGCACCTGAGTGTTTACGCTAATGAGGTACCTCTTGGATGGGGGCTGGCCAGATCAAAAAGACTCACCACGTGGTATCAGCTGACCTCAGGGGAGGGGTACATGACTCAGTCAATCACAAGGCTGTCATGAGGCCCCCAATAAAGGCTCTGAACACGGAACGGACACGTGCCTCTAGTCGGTAACAGACATCGACGCACTTGGAAGGGTAGCTTCGCGTTAGGAATACTCCCAGACCTCGCCCTATGCATCTCTTCGTTTGTTTCTTTTTTGCTGTAATAAAACTGTAATCATGGTACGTATAGCACTTTCCTTCATTCTATGACTCGTTCTAGCGAATTATTGAACTCGAGGGAGTTGTAGGAACCAGTGGGTCAGAAGTGAGGGAGGGCTGAGGACCCCCAAGCTGGTGTCTGAAGTCTTGGGCCACCTTGGCAGTCTGGAGGATGTGGCCTTTAATTGTGAGGTCTGATCTAGCTCCAGATGGTTAGGATCAGAGAAAAGAGTACTTACTGCATGTGTCCTTGAATTGGAATTGAATAGATTTTACTTGGAATTGAATCCTTCCATTTAGTTGGTGTCAGAAAAGTGGAGGAGCCCTGGTGGTGCAGTGGTAAAGAGCTCGGCTGCTAACTGAAAGGCTGGCAGTTGGAATCCACCAGCTGCTCCTGGGAACCCTCTGGGGCAGTTCTAGTCTGTCCTATTGACTGTAGTTTTTTGTTTTGTTTTGTTTTGTTCAGAGAAGCGGAATAAAAGGATCACATTGATTGATTTCCGTTACAACACCCTATGCCGAGCACATGGTAAATACCCAATAAGTGTAAGCTATTGTTTTTATTATTTTAGCACCTTAATATGACATTTGTCTTATTATCTCATTCATTCAGCTTCCTACTTAAATTCCATCATTGTGGATAAACAGATTGTTTTCGTTTCCCTGCACGTTAACCAGAAGGCTGGAGGTTGGAGCCATCTAGAGGTGCCTGGGAAGAAAGGCCTGTCCATCTACTCCCAGAAAAACCAGCCATTGAAAACCTTATGAAGCACAGTTCTACTCTGACACACGGGGTCACCATGAGTCAGAGTGAAGTCCATGGCACCTGGGTTTTTTTTTTTACTGGCTTATTCGTTTCCTAGGACAGCTGTAATAAAAAAAACCACACATTGAGTAACTTTAAATAACAGAAAGTTATTGTCTTACTGTTCTGGAGGCTAGAAGTCCAAATCTGCATTGGCCGTGTTCATTACTTTTGAGGGTTCTGAGGGAGAATCTGTTCCATGCCTTCTCTCCAGCTTCTGGGGGCTCGTGGCAATTCTTGAGGTTCCTTGTCTTGTAGGTATATCTTCACACAGCCATCTTTCCTCTGTGTGTCTTTTCTCCTCTTCTAGAAGGACGCCAGGGCCCTGGAGGCACAGTGGTTAAGAGCTTGGCCCCTAACCAAAAGGTTGGCAGTTTGAATCCACCAGCCACTCCTTGGAAACCTTATGGGGGCAGTTCTACCTGGCCTATAGGGTCGCTATAGTCAAAATTGACTCGACAGCAATAGGTTTGGTTTTTTTTTTTTTTTTTAATAAGGACACCACTCAGATTGGGTTAGGACCCACCCTACTGTAGGGTGACCTCATGGTAACTGAGAAAACATCTTTAAAGACCTTCTTTCCAAACAAGGTCACATTCGCAGGCACTAGGGGTTAGAACTTCAACGTATCGTTTTGGGAGACAACTCAATTCATGTACATGGACAGGTAGATATGTAATAAATATATAAAATGTTCACCAGAGAACCTAAGTAGTGAGCATATGGGTGTTCACTGTGCAATTCTTTCAACTTTTGTGTTTGAAATTTTTCATAAAATGTTGTTAAAACAATCCTTCAATGGTTTCTTTTGGCTTTTTAAATAAAACTCAGACTCCTTAACGGAGAAAATAGGGCTCTTTATGATCTGGTGCTGTCTCCCTCTATAACCTCATCTACCACCCCTCGCATGTACCCTTCACACAACTCATCCTAAATCACTTGGAGCCGCCCACGAGAGTCATGCGATTTCATTCTTCTGTGCGTTTGTACTTGCTGTTCCCTGTTCCTAGAACACCCTTCCCTGAATGCTTATCCAGCTAACCCCAGTACACTCCTCAAACTCAACTCAAGTGAGCCTCTTCCAGGAAGTCTTTCCGGACTCCTCCCAGGAGGGACCCCTTATGTGCTTTGGAGGCCTCTCCCAAAAGTTTGTGGATTTTGAAGATAGCTGTGTGGGACACTCAGCACCCTAGAAAACTTGGCCTGGGGACTTGGTTCTAGTTACTCTACCTCTCTGAATCATAGATGATCTCTCATTTCTTCCCACAAATAAGCCCTCAGATTATATACAAACCCTTGAGAATGTGTCTGCCAGCAGTTCCCTGAGCGAGTGACACACTCTTAACTGGGCGTGAGCAAACCTGAGGCGAGAGCCCACACAGGGAGCCGGGATGGCTGAACTCGGGCCGCCGCGGCGCCCGTGCCTGCCGAGGGGCCGCGTCGGAGGGTGCCCGGCGTAGGGGACACGCCTCGAGGAAGAGGTCCAGGCCGCGGTAGGGAAGAAGGCGGGGCCTGAGGCCGTGCACGTCGGTGTCCCGGGCTGGGGACGGAAGTTGCTCAAATACAATTAGTTTCAGTTTTGTTTCTCTTACAGGCACTCAGCAACAGCGGCCTCCGGGGCCCCGCTCCCAGTCCGTGGAGGTGGCGGCCGGCTGGAGCTAGGT